TGCTGCTGCTGCTGCAGTGCTGCTGCTGCTGCTGTGGTTTGGGGTGTATGTACAGCTTCGCTGCAGACGTTGGTGTGTCGTCATTTTGCTTTTGAGAAGAATAGAGTGCAGCAGCAAGCAGCAGCACTGCGTCAGTGCATGCGCACCATAGATAAGCAGCAGCAGCAGCAGCAGTTGCTGCAGCAGCAGCGGGAGAAAGCAGAACGAGAAGAGGATATTAGTGAAGATGGTTTAACAGAGTATGAACTGCAGCTGCAGCAGGAAGAGCAGCAGCAGCAGCAGCAGCAGCAGCAAAAACAATTTATAAAATCCTTACAAAGATTGGGGCTGGCTTTTGAGGAGTCTCAGGCTTTCTTAGAGGCGCATGCAGATACACTGCAGGAGGCGCTGCAGCAGCAGCAGCTGATGCTGCGGCACAAGCAGCAGCAGCGCAGCAGCAGCAACCCTGCTGCTGCTCCTGCTGCTGCTGCTGCTGCTGCAGCAGCAGCAAATCCACAAGAGCAACGAGAAGCAGCAGAAGCAGCAAAGGCTGCTCTTAGAGAGATTGCTGCGGTGTACATGCAGGTGCAGCAGGAAGCTCAGCCTTACCTCCACAGCATCCGTAAGGCTTATACTCATATTTCTATTTAAACTGCAGCAGCAGCAGCAGCAGCAGAAGCAGCTGCTGCNAGCAGCTGCTGCACCCTAGGGGCCTGTTCAGAAGCAACAGCAACACCATGAACAGGAACTGCGCCACCTACAGCAGCACCAGCACTTGCTGCTGCTGCTGCTGCTGCTGTTGCTGCTGCTGCTGCTGCTGCTGCTGCTGCTGCTGCTGCATGATAAAGGTCCACTACTGTGTGAGTACAGTTTCGCTTTAAATTATTTATTTTTATGTATTTATTTATTTATTTAAATTATTTTTATTTATTTATTTGTGTTGCGTTGCAGAGGCAGAAATGTCTGGTGAGAAGCCTCGTCAACGGGAAGCAGCAGCAGCAGCAGCAGCAGCAAGACCACCAGCAGCAGGAGCAGCAGCAACACCAGCGTCTGTGACTGGCGGCCCAGCATCATCAGCAGCAGCAGCAGAAGCAGCAGCAGCAGCAGCAGCAGCAGCAGGCAGCAATGCTGGGGCTGTGGATAAGTCTGTTGCATGGTTGACGTCAAGCGACAAGGGGGAAGGGTTTCTATCATCGCCAGCAGCAGCAGCAGCAGCAGCTGCTGCTGCTGCTGCTGCTGCTAAGCATGGAAAAGAAGGCCTTCAGTTCTTCACTCTGGATGCAGACAGCAGCCCCCCAACCCCCAGGCTAGAGCCTGCTGCTGCAGCAGAGGAAGCACAGGGACCCGATGACGGTGTAGCTGCTGCTGCTCCTGCTGCTGCTGCTCCTGCTGCTGCTGGTACCCCTGCTGCTGCTGCTGCTGCTGAAGAAGAAGAAACGCCTGCTGCAGCTGCAGGAAACGTGAAGGGTTCTGTCTAGTTGCTGCGTTGCCCCTCTTGCTGTAGTGACACCCCAACGACTTCGATGTCTTTGAAACGAATGCAGCGCGAAGCAGCAGCAGCAGCAGCAGCAGCAGCAGCAACAGCAACAGCAACAATGCAGCAACAGCAACAGCAGCAGCAACAACAGCAAAAGCAGCCAGTTGCAGCTTTAGGAGTTTCGGTCAATGGGTGGCCTTGAGGCCCACATTCAGGCAAGGGGAGGAAGTGCTGCTGCAGCAGCTGCTGCTGCTGCAGCACGCGCTGCTGCTGTTGCTACTCCTGCTGCTGCTGCAGCAGCTGCTGCTGCTGCAGCACGCGCTGCTTCTGTTGTTACTCCTGCTGCTGCTGCAGCACCTCCTGGTGCTGCTGTTGCTACTCCTGCTGCTGCTGCAGCACCTCCTGGTGCTGCTGTTGCTTCTCGTGCTGCTGCAGCAAAGAGTTTGTGCTGCAGCGTATTCACTTTCTTTGTTTGCTTTTTCTTTTGTTTTTTGCATACAAATGTTGGAACCCCAAAGGGGATGTTTTTCTTCTAGCTGATACAGCAGGAATGAGAGGAGAAATACAAACAAAAATATATTTAGTTTGTCACTGTTGTAGTTATACAGGAGGTAGGAGAGCAGCGGTTGCTGCTGCTGCTGCTGCAGCAACAGACGCAGCAACAGCAGCAGCAGCAGCAGCAACAGACGCAGCAACAGCAGCAGCAGCAGCAG